GTCCTATGAGATAGAACGCTGGATTCCTTGTAATAATGAATTTCCTAGATCCGTGATGGCGAACCTATGGTATGTGTGCCAGAGGTGGCACACAAAGCCCTCTCTGCTGGCATGTGCGGCATTGCCCCAGGTCAGATCTCCGTGGTGTTTCTTTCATGAGCTTCTGTTTCCCTGCAAACAACGAAGCTCTTGCCAGCTGGTCTTCGGGTCTCTACTGCGCATGTCCATGCATGCATGTCTATGCATGCACATGTTCATCCGTGTGCATGTTCACACATTTGTGCATGCGCGCACACATCCATGCACACACACGTTCACACATGTCCATGCAGGCATACGTTCAGGCATGCATGTCCGTACATGCACATGTTCACACATGTGCATATTCACACGTTTGTGCATGCACACACACATCCATGCATGGCACGTTCACACATGTCCATGCATGCATGCATTCGTACATGCACTTTTCAGTTTGGGCATGCACACACACACAGTTTGGGCACTTGGTGTCTAAAAGGTTCGCCATCACTGTCCTAGATGCTTTAAGGATAAAAATCCTCAACATCAAAGTCATCTGAATGCTGAAAACAATAACGTGTGCAGCACACTGTCTTCTCCAACTTTGTAAAATTGGTTTCAGCTTGTTCTGCCTCTGGCTCAAGAAGATAATTTTTGTAGTAATGAAAAATGCAGATGGCTACATGCCTTCTTGATTCTTTCCTTTATTAGACCTAATCTATTGGCTGGATGGGTTTGACGTTCAGTCTTGGAATGATATCAGCTGTTCTTAAGAGGCAGTTGTACAGCTAATTTAGAAAATATCTTTTCTGGACCAAATAACATTATTACTACTATTATAAATATTCTATTGAAGGGTGAATGAAATCCCCAAATGATCCAATTGTGCTCTTTAAAACATCTAAGAAATTGCCATTATACTGAGTAATCTGAATTCATTTTGTTTCCCCCAACCCAAGTTATCCATATAATTCCATTTATATTATGGGACAGGCTGATAAAATTAGGTTCGATCATTATCATTCCAACAAAAATCCTAAGGTAGATGAATATATCCATTGAACATTTACTGATTCACAGACTAAACTCAGGACCCAAAAGTATTTTCTTTAACTGTACTGAGCAACAGCCTATCTCTATAAAGAGGCAGAGTTTCAGTATTCTCCACATCCTATAAAGGGAGGGTAGTGTCCAAGAAAAAGAGACTAGCAAGCAGTCAGCATTGAAATAGAAGACCCAAATTATCTTTCTTTAACAATCCTTTCTTCAATGAACTCTGAAAATACGCTTAAGCAGAAAAGCTTACTCAAAGAGGTAATACATTAAGTAGCAATTTATCCAGCTGGTTTAATTAATAGCTGGGATATATATAAATATTACTAATACATACTTTTATTTATTTTTTATTTATTTATTTGTCAAAGAAGTATAAGATAACAGATATAAGTATAAACATGATTATGAATACAGGATAAGGATACAAATAAATGGGGACAGTAGACAGGGACGGTAGGCACGTTGGTGTGCTTATGCACGTCCCTTACCAGGCCTTTTAGGAATGGGGTGAGGTCCACAGTAGACAATCTAAGGTTACAATTTTTGGGGGTTTGGGATGAAACCACAGAGTCAGGTAATGCATTCCAGGCATTGACCACTCTGTTGCTGAAGTCATATTTTCTGCAATCGAGTTTGGAGCAGTTTACCTTAAATTTGTATCTATTGGGTACTTGTCAGAGGTGGGTTTCAGCAGGTTCTGACCAGTTCTGGAGAACTGGTAGCGGAAATTTTGAGTAGTTTGGAGAACCGGTAGTAAAAATTCTGACTGGCCCCGCCCCCATCTATTCTCTGCCTCCTGCGTCCCAGCTGATCGGGAGGAAATGGGGATTTTGCAATAACCTTCCCCTGGAGCGGGGTGGGAATGGAGATTTTACAGTATCCTTCCCCTGCCACGTCCACCGAGCCACGCCCATCAAGCCATGCCACGCCCATCAAGCCACACCCACAGAACGGGTAGTAAAAAAAATTTGAAACCCACCACTGGTGCTCGTGTATTATATATTATATACATACATTCATATTCATACACACATGTAATATTCTATGCTGGGATTCACCTAATCTCAAGGGAGAGATTATCCTGAAATTCAGGAATCAAGAACCCTTCCCTACTTTCATCTAGTCATGATAGGAACATGCCATTAAACACTAGCCAGTTTGGTCTAGTGGTTAAGGCACCAGGTTAGAAAGCAGGAGAACGTGAGTTCAAGCCCAGCTTAGCATGAAAGCCAACCGGGTGACTTTGGGCCAGTTACTCTCTCTCTCTCAGCCCAAGCCACCTTATGGGGTTGTTGTTCTGGGGAAAATAGGAGGAGGAAAGTGTGTTGGATATGTTTGCCACCTTGAGTTATTTATAAAATTAATAAAGGCAGGATGCAAATAAATAATACCTATGCTAACATCTTTTTTTCTGGGTCCTTATTGCTCATCAACCCATGAGTGAGAAAGATGTAAAAATCCTTAACTACCAGTGCTAAAGCCATGTTTCTTCCATTAAGCCAACAGCATCCAGTGGCAATTGCAAAATGTGTAAAATCTGGTCTATTTTACTGTCAGTGATGGGTTGCAGATGGGATCTGTCAGGTATTGGCTGTTTCAGGATGATGTCAGCATGCCCAATGCTCTATTGTTCTTTAATAATCTCCCCCCCCGCCCTTTTTAATTATTTTAAAAAGTTTGATTTAAGCTATAGCATGTGATATTCTATTGAATACCTTTGATTCTCATTCTGCATTAATTGATCCTTGCAAACCACTCTCAAGGGAAGCCCTAGTAAAACATGTTATGTACAGCAGTACAATTTTGTGGTTACGGATATAGGGATTACTGTGGTTAAATTATTGAACCAGAAACCACAACACACTAAACCAAAATCATTATAGCTTAGTTAAATGTGAGGACACATTCAGGATAACTTTCCAAGATTCAAATGGAATCTACATTCCCATTACCCAAGACCATTATTCCATAACTTCCTTCAAAGATGAGAGAAACATTGTGGCATTCTTACGTGTGACATCACTGTGTTAGAAGTGCTACTACATCTCCCCTGTCCTACTCCTTAGCCATATCTTTCCAAAGCTAAACCTACAGCATTCTTGGCCTTTACTCATTGGGCTTACTTTCCAGACCTCTAAAATGTGATGCCCAGATCTGAAGCTATTATTTTCCATGAATGGAGCCAGCCTAAAATTTATATTTTGAGGTCATGTGACACTGTTAATTCATATTCAGTTTCTGACTAACTACAATTCTAATATCTCTTTCACATATATTATTTATTTGTATCAAAAAGAATCAGAACAGACTGTGAGCTGAATGCATATGTTGCAATAAACAATAATATACTTTGCTGGCAGGGTAGTTCTGGTCAGTAGTGGGATTCAGCCAGTTCGCACCTATTCGGGAGAACCGGTTGTTAACTTTCTAAGCAGTTAGAAGAACCGGTTGTTGGAAGAAAACTTATTTTGTTTTTTTCCCACTTTACAGGGCTAATCCTGTAAGGAAGGCAGGAAGGAAACATTCTGGTGTTATTTCTAGCCTAATCTTTATTGCCTTGCTTACAGAAACTGCCTCTCTGGTTAACCCTTATTACATTGTAACAGTTAAGGCGAAGTACCCATCGACATGAGTGATGTTGAGTTGGCCACGCCTACACGGTCACATGACCACCGAGCCATGCCTACCCAGCTGGTCATTAGGGCAGAGAACTGATTGTTAAATTATTTGAATCCCACCATTGGTTCTGGTGTAGTACAGGAGGAGGAAACTTGTGGCATTCTGAATGTCTTCCCAAGGACTTGCTATCCTGCTATTTTTTGCAGGATTATGTAATGTAAAATATGATTCCAACACTCAGCTTCGTATAACAAAAATGGAATGGTTTATCAGCCATTAAAGCAAGTGGACTATCTAGCTACTAAGCTTTACTATATATCTCAAATATTTATTTCATTGGATAAAAGCCTAGTCATTTTTCCTTGCTTTTACAGCTTTTATCCTTCTGCTGTAGTATGCCTTGATCTGTGGGATGGCTGGGTTACTTATCCCACCAAATATGATTTGAATATATTTTGATATCATAGCCCAGGGCTAATTAGCTCCATTAGCTCATGCAATTTCCATCTTTGCCAAAAAGTTTGATTTCTCACCCTTTTCTTCTAATGTTCTCACAGCCATTTCATTCATTTTCCTACACATGAGAATATACAGGTAGTCCTTGACTTACAACCAGAGTTGCACCCAAAAAAATTGTTTCTAAACAAAACAAGTTAAGTGTGTTTTGCCCCATTTTACGACCTTTCTTGCCATAGTTGTTAAATGAATCACTGCAGTTGTTACGTTAGTAACATGGCTGTAAAGTGAATCTGGCTTCCCCATTGACTTTGCTTGTCAGGTGATGACCTTGGGACACAGCAACTGTCAAAAATTTGAGCCAGTTGCCAAAAGTCCAAATATTGATCACATGTCCATGGGGATGCTGCAACTGTCATATTGTCATAAGTGTGAAAAATGGTCATAAGTCACTTTTTTCGGCGCCATTGTAACTTTGGTTACTAAATGAATCATTGTAATTTGAGGATGATATGTAGGCCCCTTCTGAGTACCCAGTTACAGCTGTCATCCATTTTTGGTATTCTTAGGTAGCAACTAGATTCCATGGACCTTCCTGGAAATTTCTGAGTTTTTTTTATAGCCCAGCATTCCAAAGAGTGCCAGGCAACTGAATGGCCATTTTGTCCCTGGTGCTTCAGCCTAGCTGCACCCAACCAGGCTGTGGTCCTTGGAGATCTTCTATTGTGCGTAGGTAAACTGACCAGTATTGACTGAAACAGGATGACCAGGAGAACAGATCATGGATGGAAACTAATCAAGGAAAGAAGCAACCTAGAACTAAGGAGAAATTTCTTGATAGTTAGAACAATTAATCAGTGGAACGACTTGCCTTCAGAACTTGTGGGTGCTCCAACCCTGGAGATTTTTAAGAAGAGATTGGTCAACCATTTGTCTGAAATGGTATAGGGTTTCCTGCTTGTGCAGAGGGATGGACTAGAAGACTTCCAAGATCCCTTCCAACTCTGTCATCCTGTTAAAACAAATGGGAAAGCAACCAGGTACACCTAACAGATTTTGGGTTGGTTCGTCACATGGCTTTGTAGGTCTGACTCTTGATATGAAAGAAAAAAAATTGTGCTTGGATTCTTGCAGTTCACTAAGCCAAAACCTGACAAATCACTTTATGGACCCATTTATAAGATGCCTGATGTGCTGTGCGTAAAAACATATGCTTCACAACTACAAATGTGTTATGCCAAGTTAGTGCCAATCTTATTGTGAAGTTTATTTAAAAAGCAATCTTCTTGCAGCTGAAGTGCTGCAATAAAGTTCTTTATTGCCTAGAAAATATTCTCAGATATGTAAAAGCCATTCACCCAGATCTTGGTTGTAACAAAAATGTAAAGAAGCCCAAATGCTAAAACCTCCTGGGACTAAGATGATTTTTATAGTAGTTTCAATATGTAAGCTTTTTAGAAGTTCGGCAGGAAAAGTTAATAATCAAGCTATGTGAACAGCAACAGATCAACATGGATCAAGCTTTGCATATTTTACAATCAAGCTATTTATGTGGTCTGGTTGGTTTGGTTTGGTTTGGTTTAGTAGGGGCAAATCCAGGCAACTGTCAGTGTTCAAGTAGGGAGAAGAGGGGGGAAATCCTTTTCAGTATCTACCTTACCTGTCAAAGTTAGGCTTGTTTTCCAGATGGGCAACCAAGAACAAGGAGAGCTGATTTGCTGGCTAATTGCAAATCCACTTTGATAAATCCCAATGAAATTGGGTTTGCATACCACGCTAATCAACAGTGTGATTTGGATATATGAATGTAGTTATTAAAAATTATAAATCTGCAAACTGGGCATATTGAAACTTTTGTTTTAGCAAAAGCAGGTGAGGTAATGTGGTAATATAACTGGAGAGACGATAGTGATATTTTCAGCCACTAGGGAGGGAGGGAGGGAGGGAGGGAGGAAGGAAGGAAGGAAGGAAGGAAGGAAGGAAGGAAGGAAGGAGCAGAATAAGGAGATTTACAGATGGAGCAAACACATTTTGATTTGAAAAGCTTAATAGATATATTTCTGCCTTTTACTAAACACAACAATTATTTCAGAAAGTTATACTATTTCTGAAGAATTTAGGCAACATGATCTGATGTTATTCTGAAGACTGTAGAAAAGAGGCCAGAGTAGATTGTATGTTTCCTAGAAGTTGCCCAAGCTGGTTTATTAAATATGTGTACCCAATAAATTTGTTAAAGCATAGATGGCTGACACAATATGTGAATCCGATCTAATGCTATATAATTTTTTGGATCTTTTCTTCAGTAAAAATTTAGATTCCATAAGGATGACTATGTTAGTCTGCCCACCAAAACAGAAGTTTTGTGCATTTTAAAGATTTATTCTGACTTAATGTATACTCTTGTCAATGAAGCTTGAACAACATACTTTTTAATATGCCAAAGAGTATCAATATATACAATACCATTATTTTTATCTAGGACTTCTGATTCTGGATTCTAGGTTTGAATTTCATTAGATGGTCTTGGAATGTTCTGTATTGATCACTCTAATCTACTTATAGAGTTAATGTGAAGCTAAAATGAGGAGGGAGAAAATTATGTGCACCGATCTGTACCTAGGGTGTTCTGTGAGGCTATCTTTAAGGGGTTGATCAACTGGATGAATGTGTGACTTTGGATGTGATGGGTTGTTTAGTTTTTGTTTGTTGTTTTAACCTGATGCTGACCATATAGGGTTGCATCGCAAGTTGGGCAACCATTTGATTGATTGATTGATTGATTGATTGATTGATTGATTGAATGAATGAATGAATGACCTATGCTGCCTGGAGGAACATTTCTGGACCAGAAGATAGTGGATAGAAACTGTCTAGGAATATCTAAGGGACTAGTACAAAATAAACTTCAATGCCTTAAACTTCAATGCCTTTCATCTTTCCCCTTTCATAGAAAGACAAGTTGTATAAAGTATATTTTATATATGTTTTTCCACATGGATTTCACAAGTACTTAATACAGTACAGTGTTGTGCAGCTTTCAATACCATGATTATGAGATTCTTGTTTGTTATTATAGATCACAAGATTTTAAAAAAACTTTCAAGCTGTTTTTCATATCTGTTTTTGTTTGCCAAAATTTTGGATGTAATGAGAAAAAAATAATTCCATTATTTGAAGATGAGATGAGAGAAGGTATTTCTTCTCCAATTGTTAGCTTCATGCACTGGACAATTTGAAAGAAGGAAAATTAAAACACAAAATTAGGCCCTCCAGAATTTTCTACATTAAACACCTTCATTTAATAAATTATATCCAACGATACTGCAATAAAATCTGAAAGGTTTGAATTCAAAACTGGGACATCAAGACTGTACTTGGTTTTACATACCACACAATGCCAAAATGTTGTTTGATTTGATTTAATGGATTGTGAAAATCCTGATATTGTGGTAGATATCCAGTGGCCTAGCATGACATCGGAGTCTAGTTTTATTTATCCAACAGAATAAAGTATGATGCCAAATTTAGCGGGGTAAATGTGACTAATTAATTGAAAGAAAGCTCCACTGAACATGTTGCTTGGGAATAAATCTCTCTTGAACTCAGTGGTGCTTATTTCTAATAGGAGAAATTCAGCTTGTAAAACGCACTGAACTTTGTAAATAATCTTTTGCCAGTTGAATTGTAACCTTTTAACTTTTAATTATAAAACCAGTATTGTAAAGTAATATCACCATTTAAACTGCTATCTTGAAAAACAAATACCATGACAGAAAGAGAAGGTGCCACGTAGCCTTTACAGATAAAACGATCTGCAATCTCTGTCTTCTGGCAAAATTGGCAACACCATTTTTGTTTATATTTGTTTTTCAAAATTAAGAGTGAGAATGAGTGCATATGGCCTCTGAGAGTCCATGTTAATCTGTCGTGTGCATTCACTTGCCAGAGCAAAGAGGTCAGTCAATCAAACATTTTATAGCTTTAGCATTTCAACATTGCTCTTCCTCTGAATTTTTTTCTGGAGTTATGATCCCCTGCTCTATCGAGAAACAGTACAATTTGCAATTACTCTTGTTGCATCTAATTCAGTAACAGAGAAAAAAGAGCATGGAAAGCTAGGATGAAGGAAGAACCAATTCACCACATAATCGCTCTTCTTCTGTGCTAAAATGAGATATATGTACACATGGAGATACATCTTTATGACCAATGCAGAAGCAATAAATATGATTCCTTGTATCAAATCCAGGATTCTGAACTGGATAAATCAACAGTGCTTCCTCTAGGATTAAGTTTGTGTTTGTGCCACACACAATGCCACAAGAAATGGGGTGTTGATTACTCTTTTCTTATGCCCCAAATGCAGACAAAGCTATCCTCAGCTTTCCAATCATCAAACAGCAACGTTTGCACTCTCAGAATTTTCTACTCTGAATTAATTTGCACTTTCTTAGAAAGTGTGAGTGAAAATGTTACAACAGGAGATACTTTTGTATCAGATCATGCAATAAGTGTAACTTTGCAACTTGTAACTGCATTTTTGCCTTTTTAGGAGTCCCATTAAAGAAACAGTCCAGAATGTTTGGCTTTCAAATTCATGTCATAAAACTATTTCCAGATTTACTTAAAAGCCACAGAACATCTATCACAATTTAATATTATACAAGTTTATTCACAAGCAAGTTTCATTCAGTGGAACTGTGTTTCCAAACAAGTATACACAAGATTACAGGCTCAATATTCAAAGGCTATGGGGATTCTCCAGGTAAATTCATATAAAAGGAATTTTTTTTTTGGAAAAATCCATAATTACTTCCTGGTCTAAGTCACACTGCGTGAATGGAATCTTATCCAGGCATTGGATCAGATATACTAGGCATCCTCTAGGACAGGAGTGTCAAACTCAAGGTTCAGGGCAGGGGTGAAATCCAGCAGGTTCTGACAGATTCTGGAGAACCGGTAGCAGAAATTTTGACTAGTTCGGAGAACTGCAAATACCACCTCTAGCTGGCCCAAGTGGGGTAGGAATGGAGATTTTGCAATATCCTTCCCCCAGGAGTGGGGAGGGAAAGGGGATTTTGCAGTATCCTTCCCCTGGACTGGGGAGGGAATGGGGATTTTGCAGTATCCTTCCCCTGCCATGCCCACCAAGTCACACCCACAAAACCGGTAGTAAAAAAAACTGGATTTCACCAAAAGTCCGGGGGCTGGATCTGGCCCTTGGGGTGCTTAGATCTGACCTCTGGGACCACCCTGGAAACAACAAAGGACTTGCCCGCAGTGCCTCTGCCAGCAAAAATGTAGCTCAGGAGGGCCCAGGCTCTGTTTTCGGCTGTGCCAGCCTCCTGCCACCCTCTGCCAGTGAAAACGGAGCTCGGGGAGGCCACACACCCCCAAGCTCCGTTTTCATTGGCAGAGGCCATCACAGCTGAAAACTGAGCTCTGGAGCCCGTTTTTGCTGCAGAGCACTTGGGTCACCAGATGCCCCTGACACGATTGCCATCAAGCTGGCCACGACCACCCTGGCCATGCCCACCCCAGCCCCTTAGGTCAAACACAACCCTGATAAGGCCCTCAATGAAATCAGGTTTGACACCCCTGCTGTAGGATCACAATCTTCAATTCCTAAGATTCACAGCAATGGTCTTACTGGCTGGGAATTCTGGAAGCTGAAATTCACACATCTGGAGGGTCCTATGATGGAGAAAGTTAGAGTAGACCATCTGTCCACAACCTAGTATCATCCAGGAATTTGGGCCACAACTGCAAAAAATACAACAAAGGAAAAAGAAAAATTAAGGATATCATTTTAAGTAAATGTTTATAATTCTATACAGTTCTGAAATGCAATTATTCAATCTATATATATATAAAACGAAATACCACTTGTGCATCATCACAAAATCTCCAGAACCGTAAAGCTTACAAACTTGGAATTTGCCATGTATGTTCCTCTTGGCTTCTAGGTACTCACTAAGAAAGGATTTTTTGAAATGACCATCAGAGCCTTAGTATTTCCTATATTATTATTAACATGCTCTGATGATAAGGAGTTCTACTCCCTCTCCCCACCTGAAAAGAAATCTCTTCCCAATACAAAACACAAGCAGAGGAGAGGAGTTTCAGTTTCAGTTTTACTTCCCAGCAGCAAACATCTTTACTACTGAATAGTTGAGCTAAGCCACAGCCAGGCTCCTTCCTGTCTCCTTCTTGCTCACACAGCAAATACTGTTTCACTTTCTAAACAGCCCTCTGATGCTAAGGAGTTGTACTCCCCCTCCCCACCTGAAAAGAAATATGTTCCAAATGCAAAACACAAGCAGAGGAGAGGAGTTTCAGTTTCACTTTTACAGCAGAAAGCAGGGAATAGGATAGGGGAGGCTTCCATGAGGCAAGCCTGAGGGAGAGAAGGGGGTTAGGATAGGATAGGCTTCTGTGGGGCAAGCCTGAGGGAGAGAAGGGGATAGAATAGGATAGGCTTCTGTGGGGCACATTGAATCATGGGTATGGGCACATACGTGCACTACACCCCCCCCCCACGTTATCCTCACTTTTGGCATGCGACAGCAAAAAGGTTAGCCATCACTGGACTAGTGCCTGCAAAAATACATGAGTAGACCAATGCCTGCAAAAATAAATGGGTAGACCGGTAGAGCTCTGCAAGCAGTTAAAAGCCTGGTAGACCAGTCCCTCTGCTAAATCCTAAAGAATTGTCACATGACCATCAAGCCACGCCCACAGAACTGGTAGTAAAAAAATTTAGAACCCACCCCTGGGCAAGGCTGAGGGAGAGAAGGGGAGAGGAGAGGCCGATCATTACTACTCATTAATTTTCAAGCTGTAAGTGTCGATTTATCAAGCTCGATCACATAGTTTCGTAGCGGAGCACCGGTATTCAGCTAGTTACATATATATATTTGTAGTACATTTATATAACTATCATGTTTTTAACCTACTGTATTTTGTATAAATGAGTCCTATATTTCATTATATTTGTTCATATTCAATCCACTGAGTAAAAGCAGCCAAAGATTTATCTTTCCAATGCTGCAGTATCAGTCTTTTGGCATAGAATATCCAGTTATGCTGTCAGGTTGTAAAATTCTGATTCTAGTTATGCAGTTCAAAAGAAGAATATCATCTGAAAATTTTAGCTTTTGTCACACAATTATGTTTAGATAATTCAGTATTTTCTTCCAAAATTTAATAAGTGTAGGACATTGCAAAAACATTTGTTTTTAAAAAGCTTATCCTTATTACATCTCCAGCAAAATGCTGTTTTGAATTTACTTTGTGGGTTTTTTGTGGGGGGAATGTATGTGTTTTCATCTTTGTGGGGCTTTTTTCCTTTTCTGTTTGTCTCTCTTTGAAAAGCAATTAAAAACACATTAAATTCATTATCTTGAATGTTTGTGGGTATTACTTTGATAAAAGTTGCATTTGTCTTGGCCTCAACTCCCTCTAAATTCATGGCTATGCCTGTGCATTTTTCTTGACAATGATATGCATGTGGTTTGTCCTTGCTTTCTTGTGGGATGGTTTTTTTCAACTTTTCAGTCTTCATCTGCAATCTTGATAGTTACTCATCTAAGTACTTTCCAGGCTCAATCTCACTTTGGTAGAAGTCTAACAGATCTGGGGAACACAGAGGAGGTAGAAAAAGAGAGGAAACAGTGCTGTTATGGAAGAAACGCTCAAGCAGAGAAGGGAAAGGGTGAAAAGGATATTCAGAATAATTCCTCAATTACAGTAGATATTTTTATGATATTGTATCAGGGCAGTCTACAGATACATTAAAGGCAGAAACAACAATATATTAAGCAGATACATCCTACATCTAGAATATCAGTAAAACAACATCAATTAAGCAAGGTTCCCCATCCTTAAAACCAAACTTTTTGACCTGCCCTTGGGTTATATATTCCTTTAAACAAGGGGCTTAAAAAAATAATGCCCTTATATAAAACAATCCCTTTTTCTTCTTTCTGATGTCCATGTGTCCATCCCCAATATCTCATTTCCCCCTCTCCACAACCCGAAATGTAGTATTTCTTCTTTGTCTAAAGCAGGGGTCTGCAACCTTAAATACTCAAAGAGCCATTTAGACCCGTTTCACCCAGAAAAGAAAACACTGGTAGCCACAAAACCTAGGTGGGCATGGCCAACTCAATGTCACTCACTTTCACCAGTCACATGACTCCCTAGCCATGCCTACCCAGCAGGTCATTAGGGCAGAGAACCAGTTGTTAAAAAACACCGGGAACCACAAAATTCTTTTGACATCTCTCTTTCTCCCCTCCCTCCCTCCCCTCTCCCCCTCTCTCTGTATCTCTCTGTCACTGACCTGGCCACTTCTCCATCCCCCACCGTTGCCCTTACCTTCTCAGGCCAGGCAAGGAGTGACTGGTAGGGGAGGGCAATGGGCGGGGCCAGCCAGTGGTGGGATCACCTGAAAGGGAGCCTCAGCAGAGGACCCAAAGAGCGGCATGCGGCTCCGGAGCTGCAGGTTGCTGACCCCTGGTCTAAAGTGAATTGAAAAGGGGTTTAGAAAATCAGGGCCCAGATCAAGCTTGCCCATCCCTTCTAATATTAGAATGGGAATATTGGAAGGGACTTCCAATCATTAAATAAAACAGAGTATTGCAAACTGATGTCGAAGTCCCATTGAAGTTAAGAGTTTCTGCTAGTTATTAGTTATGATCTCGATAATTTTTCTATAATCTCTGAAATCTCTGCAATTCAACCCATTAGTACTAAACCTGCTGCCTACAGCAGCTGAGAACAAGCAACTTCTACTGTGTGTCAATTCTTCTGGAAGATCTTGGATATTTCTCTTTACAAAGAAACTTTTTTCTTTAGCCCAACTTGCTAGCTCTTCATAGACTTAATTTACAGATTTTCTGACCAATCTGGTCACTCTCTCTGGACATGCTTCAATTATTTCATGTTCTTAAAACACATGAAACTTTGATCCGCGCTTGCACTTAATATTCCTTTAATCATAGGGGCCTAAAAAAAGTGAAACAAGTCAAATCCTCTTACTATCAGTGTTCTTACAAGAGGCTTGGGAATTAAAATTTCCAGATCATCCCAGGAACTGCTCACTGAGGACCTCTAGTGTCTTAACATATAAAGGCTTTTATAAAGTTTATAGATGCTGTTAGGGTGTTGTTGGTGTGTACGTGCACGCGCCAGCGCACCGGAAACCTGACAACCAGCTGGCTGAGCTGTGGCGATGGCGCGAGTGCCCACAGAGAGGGCTCTACGTGCCACCTCTGGCACACATGCCATAGGTTCGCTATCATGGGTATAGGGTTTCCTGCTTGAGCAGGGGGTTGGATTAGAACTGCAGGATCCCTTCTAACTCTGTTATTTCACTGGGAAATCACATCAGCTTAATTTCTTCTATTAAACTGCTGTTAAAGATGGAAAATATCTGCCAGAATAAATAAGCATGCTGGTCAAATTACACACACAAAAAAGACTGATGGACACTACCGGTCTCAGAATCAGAACAGGGTCAAGGTTGGCCCAACTTCTGTTTTGTAGATAAATTGTATAGTTTAGGTGTAGGAACAAACCAGCTTCTATTTTCTAACTGATTAGTTGGCATTTATAGAAGGGACATGGTGGCTCAGTGGCTAAAACGCTGAGCTTGTTAATCAGAAGGTTGGCAGTTCAGCAGTTCGAATCCCAGCACCGTGTAACAGAGTGAGCTCCTGTTACTTGTCCCAGTTTCTGCCAACCTAGCAGTTCGAAAGCACATAAAAAATGCAAGTAGAAAAATAGGGACCACTTTGGTGGGAAGATAACACCGCTCTGTGCACCTTTGGTGTTTAGTCATACCAGCCACATGACCACGGAGACGTCTTTGGACAGCGCTGGCTCTTCGGCTTAGAAATGGAGATGAGCACCGCCCCTAGAGCCGGAAATGACTAGTAGGCATGTGTGGGAGAATCTTTACCTTTACCTTATAGAATTCATCCATCTTGGCAAGCAGATTTTGGTTGTGTTCACATAACATGCTTAACCTGATTATTGAAGTAGCTTGTATCTGAATTTACCAAATATACTGAGCTATAAACAAAATAGTTAAAGTAATGTGAGTACAGCTGCTAAATTTGCATTGACCAGATTAAGTATGGAACATGAGTGCAACAGCTGTTTTTAGGAAACAGCTGTTGCACTCATGAACCATACCTAAAGATTGCAAAATTGAAGGGCAGTCTTTTATCTAAAGAGGTCTCTGGTAATGTCTGGTTTAGGATGAAAGTCCAGAATCACCTAGGCTTGGAACTTTGTCCATTTGCCCAGAGCTGCTGGAATTTGGGCATCATGTAATTTGTTCATATTATATTATTTTATAGTTCGTTGCACAGTCAGCTAGATGTTCAGATTGGATTTGGCATTTTTATCCACCTATCAAGTCCTTCCCAAGGATCTGGGATAGGCAGATGTAGATGTTTGATGGTGTTAGAGGTATCATCGCAGGATGGAAGCTGTTCCGACTAAAGCTGCCTTTTGGAATTGATTGATGGTAAATTTATGAATGCCGATAGTGTTCAAGTGGTATTATTATTGCTATTATTATCTATATGCTACCAAAACTCTCATGTTGGTACCTTTAGCTGAGCAAAACAGTGCATTCAAAACTTTTTCAACCAAGGTATCTCAAATGGGCTAACTTACAGAATGTGTCCAAAATCTGGGACCAATGATCCTATGGAATCGAAACCTGGCAAATTTTAGAACGTTTTATGATATATCCATGATGGCGAACCTATGGTACATGTGCCAGAGGTGGCATGCAGCGCCCTCTCTGATGGCACACGGGCTGTCGTCCCAGTTCAGCTCTGCTGCACATGCACGCGCGCCACCCCAGGCCAACAGGTCTTCAGGTCTCTGCTGCGCATGTGCGGGGGGGAGCATGTGGGGGGTGCACGTGCATGCACAGGGGCAGGGTGTGTGCAGCAGGCTGTGCGTGCATGTGGGGGGGCGCATGTGCGGGGGCCGCACACGCATTGCGTTTTGGGGGGTTTGGGTGCAAGCGCATTCATGCATCTGCGCTTTGGGCACTCGGTCCAGAAAAGGTTAGCCATCACTGTGATATACAGATATTATAAAGCATTTTATGACATAATACAAAATGTCATAAAACATGCTTGATTGTGGTCTATATCTATCTGTCTATCTGTCTGTCTGTCTATCATCTATCATGTTCTAACAGCTCTGGAGAGTTTATAATATAAACATATAAATATGTCTCCGGAGAAGGGCGGCATATAAATCGAACCACTAAATAAATAAATCAATAAATAAATCCAAATTTAGCAATCTAAAATGTCTATCAATTCTACAGAACCGAGAGTGTAAAGACCGACTTTAAGTCTTCTTAAACAGAAATAAGGGAGTTCACCTCAAAATGAGATTGGCAGTTGGTTCCACAGTAAATTTCCAATGTTATCTGAAGCCTTATTTCCAGAGCTGTTTTATATCTCAGAGCCAGTCCCTCTATAAACATATACAGGTGTAAGGTTTACATCTTTAAATATCAGTCGTCATTTCTGGGTTTCCATCTGTGACATCGATTGATATGAGCACTTTTTCCTCCGAATGCCTGTCCTCTACGATGGGCGATGTATTTCCGCAGCGCAACGAAGGTCCCTCCCTCGACACCCTTCAAACCCTTTACAAGCGGTGAAAGAGGAAACACAGGTACTCCTCGATTTACAAGTTTGTTGAGTGATTTATGATCATTTTTCACAAAGTTACAACCTTTGCAGCATCCCCGTGATCATGTGATCAAAATTCAGATGCTTGGCAACTGGTGCAAATTTTTGACGGTCGCAGAGTCCCGAGGTCAAGCAAACCCCCTTTTGCAACCTTCTGACAAGCAACCTCAATGGGGAAGCCGGATTTACTTCACAGCTGGGTTGCTGACTTTTATCAACTGCAGGGCTTCACTTAACAACTGGGGCAAGAAAGATCGCAAAACGGGGCAAAACTCACTTCACACATGTCTCACTTAACAGCGGAAATGTTGGGCTCAACTCCGGTCGTAAGTCGAAGCCTCCCTGCAAAAAAGAAGAAAGAAAGAAGCGCCCACCCTGCAGTCCCACGAGAGTTGAGGGCTGTGGCCGCTTCCACCGCTTGCGGCCAGTTCGCGAATGTCAAAGCCACCCCTCCCTCGCGCCCTGGTTAAAGACTTCCACTGTAAGGCAGGGGTGGGCAAATGTGGCCCTTTTACAACCGGTGGACTTCAACTCCCAGAATTCCTGAGACAGCTTGGCTGTTCTGGGAGTTGAAGTCCACCGGTTGTAAAAGGGCCACATTTGCCCACCCCTGGCTGTAAGGCGTCGCCAGAGCCCCGGAGCTGAGTCCAGGGGGCGCGCGCAGCCGGGAACTCTTGAGCGCCCGGGAGCCAAGAAAACAATCCCTCCTTCAGTCGGACAGGATGCTCCGACTCACGTAGCGGCCGCGGAAGTGGGCAGTGCCTCAGGAAGCGGCCGGCCGAAACTGCACGTCCCCGAAAGGGAGCCCGTTACACAAGCGCCGCACGTGTGGCGTCTCTCGAAGGGACTCCCGAAGACGTTTGCCCTGATCCGGGAGGCTCGACTTGGAGCGCGGGGAGGGGGGGAAACGAGTGGGTGGAAGGCCGAGGATGTAGCAGGTTTTGTTGCTTTTAAAGCTTTGTTGGTGGGCAGTGAATCCAGCGGCGTCTTTTGCAACAGGGCGGAAGGTTTCTGCAGCTGAACGGGGGTGGTCAGTCAAGCGGCGTTTACCCAAACGAGACAGACTGCTTGGAAACTCGAGGTGGAAAATCCCATCAGCCCCCTCCCCCCCCCCTTTTTTTTGCTCCTACAGCACTAAACACACAATTGTTCTGGTGGTTGTAAATGAATCCTGACATCCCAAAACAGCATCTGCTATAAGCGCCTCTGTGCGATTTGCAAGCGACGTTGTGATGTTTAGAGACGCAGCTCTCCTTTATCCCAAAGGTGCTTTTTCAAGAGGCAACTGGACACATTCTAGCTCTGAAGAAGCTTCTTGGATGAGAAGCAAAACGTCTTCAAAGAAAAACCAGAAAGTCCAGTTGCCTCTTGAAAAAGTACCTTTGGGACAACCATGACCTGGATGACTGAGAATCTCCATAGACAGCTTTCCTTTATATTCCTTTCCATCAGAGTGAGATGCTACTAACTAAGTCTGTGCCTCTTGCACAGGTTAGAAAACGAGGTGCGAAAAATATATGAAGCGCATATTCATCTTTCATGAAAGACCCTGTTGGTGTGAAATTATTGCAGAGATAGATTCAAGGAAACTTGCTAGGCAACCTTAATAAAATACGTAAATAGAAACTCAAGCATCTTGTCCTGGACATTATAAAACTAATAGAAAGAATAAGAAAGAAGCATCTTATATTTGCTCAGTGGTGGGGACAAATTGTTCACAACAACCCAATGGAAGGCTAAGATCAAGAAGGCGCTAAGGAGGCTCATTCCTGGTCTTATTTTCATTTTTGTGTATGGGAGGTAGCATTTTTTCCTTACAGAGGTTGTAAGGGCATGTGAACTTATTCAAAATCATAACTAAATAAATGACAAGAATCAAATGTTGCATAGAGTTATCATAATGACTTGGCTGATATATTGTAAAAGCCACACGTGAGCAACCTCATTAAAGGTAAAAATGCCTTTTGAAGAATTCCACAATGAAGAGGGATTTGAATTTTTCTTCCAAATCTGTATATATTCTTAGTAATCTGTTACTAGTTATAATAGTGTACCATCTGTTTGGTGCAGTCTCCCCAATTATTGAAAAAAAAAAAAAAAGTGGTTGCAAAGCTGTGGCAATTAAATCCATAACTATTGCCTAACTTCTAATAGAAGACAAAAATTTCTCATAGTTAGACCTATCTTTGGACTGCAAAAATCCAGATAAACTGTAGAGGCCAGAAAGAGTTTTCTCAATCTTTTACTGCCCAGATTTTAAAACTGTACATTAGTCATTAAATGGCAGTTGTCTAGAAGAAGCCCAGAAATGTAGGCTAGAATGGGAAGTTAAAAAAAAAACCTTAAAAAGGGTAAACCATTAGCATATTGTGCAAGATTGGACATTTGAAACGTTTATTTTTTTAACTGAATTCATTGTGAAAGAATGCCTAGAACAAATGAACTGACTCCATATTACAGCCGTCACTTTTTTGTGTCCCTTGACTGAAGGCCCACTAATGGGGTTTACTCCACATCAAGAGGATGTGTCCATTCTGCATATGTGCTAGAGATGCTTGAGATCACACTATATATTATTTCCTGGTTTTCAAAATGTTCATCTCTATATAAGTTTGGGGATAGACTTAAAACATCAGTTTCTGGTTCATTCCTGTTTGTTGTTTTATCAGCTAAAACAAACAACAGTGAAAAGTTTTTACTGTCTTCAATTAATAATTCTTGGGAAGTAAAAAATTCACTAGACATCTTTTCCCTTATCTCTTACCTAATCTTTCTTTAAATAGAGTTGCAGGCAAACAAATGTGCCACCACTGGGTTATAGAAAAAACTATGCAGCACAACTTGGACAGGAGTGGATAATATGAGGCTGCTGGGCAACCATACAGTATGCTAATGATAATTTCCCTTGCTAAATCTCCCTGCTTAATTTAAGAATAATAAATGGAAGAATGAAATACTAGAAAGCACTAACCTAGCATATACTTTAGTTTTTCAAGAATGCTTCTGGATCTAATGGTTTATTTTTTTATATAAGGATTCTTAGGAAAATAAATGGGATGTAGCTGCAGCCCAGGGCATTTGCTTGACTTTATGTCCATCCAGCAAGATAAAAAGGGGAAAACTGAAACAGAATGACTACATTCTTGCACTTAGATGTGTTGGTGAACACAATCTTGCCAGTTTGCCTTTTGGTAAATAGATATTTGGCCATACAGGTAGTCCTCGTTTAGCAACTGCCTCTTTTAACAACTATTTGCAGTTACGGCAGTGATAACTGCAATAAATCCTTGAAGTGTAAATTCACAGATTTATAAAGCAGAGGAAAGCTGAAGATCATAAGCATAGTCATGATTTCACTTTGCAACTGCTTAACAACCAAGTTGCCAGTCCCAATTGTGGTTGCTAAACAAGGATTATCTGTAATCTATCCTCACCATGGAGGCATTTTTGTAAAGCCCTCTATGTTACCGTTTTGTGAGAATACCAAGATATATGTCCCCCTGCCTCAGTTTTCTAACTGTGTGCAAGGAAATGAGCTTCATGACATTCAATGGGATTTAGCTAAATCAATGAATTAAGTTAATATACATTTTTATTCCTTCTTTGCTTCCTATAAAGACTTGGGACTTTTCCCCAGTGCTGATTTGAAGTGCTATCAGTTGAATTGGCAGAAAATTATACTGGTATGAAATGTTTTGTTCCAGTTGTGGATCCCTATCTTGCTTCTATTGCCTGTCTCAAGGCAGTGCAGTTCCCTGACTTGCATGCAAAATCTAATAAGAGTTTGGTCCCTTGACAGTGCTGCTGAATGATATTGGAATAAGGAAGAAAATATTTCATTAACACTTGATACAGTTATGGAAAACTCCAGCCTCTCTCACTTGTAGACTGGAGATGAGATGATAGTGATGCCAGCAGGACACCGAAAAAGGATATTGCAATAACATGTTTGTGCTGAAATTATTTGGAAGTGAGGAAGGGCCTTCAGACTGTATTCACACAAGATTCCGTCCTTGGTTAATAAATTTACTCATTTAATGAGTTTGAGAATACAATAAACTTAAATTTAATTATTTTTAGCATGTTGTGTGAATGCATCTCCCAGATTTCATACCGACCTGAATAAGTATAGTGTATGAATTAAGCCACAGTGAAATGTCATTAGACTATTGTGAGACAAGGCATGTATAATATCTGTAGGGCCTCTTCAGACAATCACCTTTTAAAACAGCTATAAGATTTAAAAAAAAAATTGTAAGAATCCTACTTAAAACTGTCATATATAAGTGTACCCCAAAAAAATTTAAATAATGTCTGTTAGGCCTGTTTTGGCTTTGGCTTTTCTACTGTGCCTTGGAAAATTACTATGAATATCCCTGCCTGCTTTCAAATGCTTTTTTTTGCCCTTAGTCCTGAGGTGGGGAACTATGGCCCCTTTATGACTCACAAGTCACAAGCATGGCTGGTTCAGGAATTCTGGGAATTGAAGTCCACAAATCATAAAAGGGCCATAGTTCCCCACCCCTGACTTAGTCCCTTGTGGAACCTCATCAAGTTCTCATAAACCCCCGGAGTTCTACAGAGCTCAGTTTGACAATCTTGCTCATGTGACAGTTCTCTCCTTCATTGCATGCAAATGTTTGATATCATTTCAGAATTTCCGCTCTTCCTGGGACTGGAAATCATGTAAGAATTGTTTAGAAGCTCTAGACATAAGAATATCAACCTCTTGGTTATCTGGAAGAGACCACTATCAAGAAGTCTATATTCCTATGGGTATAATGTTTTAAAAATATTATGAGTCCCTGCAGATTTTACTCCACTAGTTGTTGCTGACTATAAGGGGTGATGCTCATCTCTGCTTCAAGGCCATTGAGCCAGTGCTGTCCGAAGACATTTCTGTGGTCATGTGGCCAGCATGACACCATGGAGCGCTGTTACCTTCCCACTGATGTGGTACCTATTTATCTACTCACATTTGCATACTTTCAAACTGCTAGATTGGCAAGAGCTGGGGCGAGGATGGGAGCTCATCCCATCACGTGGCGCTTGGGATTTGAACCTGGGTTGCCTGCTTTCCAGCCAATAGACCCAGCGTCTTAAACATTCAGCCATCATGCTGCCCCAACATGAGAATGGAGGGACAAAAAAAATCAGGGCAGCCTTAAATTTTTACGAGCTTTGTTAGCCCTGTTTAATTGGGAGTAAATCCCAAAATGGGACAATGAAGATGTGTATAGAGTGGCTTTTGGTCATACCTATGCCACATGTAAAATTCTCTGTTTATAGTAAGGACATATACATCATTCCTGATCTATTCTGGCCCAAATGCTTTAAGCACAAAATTCAGTTTTACCCAAGCATGTTCCTTCTATGAAACCTGAAATCTCTAATCTAGAGATTTACCTTGCAATCCCAGTTTTTATCACCCATATCCCACCAAATAAGAGGTACATGCAAAATACAAACGTGGGTTTGATTA